TTTTCGTACCCCTTCCCTTCCGCTGCTCCACACAGTCGGTCTCTCTATATATCTGCATCCAGCAGCTGACGGTTGACTAGTTAGATCTAATTATTCTAGCAATCTGCCTTGTCGAAAGTTCCTCTTTGCTCAATGAAGCATCAACTGCTTTTTTGTGGAGTTAACTCGCAACATTTGGCCATGGTAGCATTACTTGTCGTATTTCATAAAGATACTTTGATAAAAAAATAATGTGGTAGTTTACGGAAACACGGCAGCGATTACAATGTAATATCTTATGTCAAGGTGTTCAAGCAACACCATTTTCGTTGTACATCACAGATGATGCAAAATATCTGTTGAAATCTCCACAAGATAGCCATCTCTGGTGGAGGGGGTGATGAATGTTATATCGGTTGTGATGATACACTGTAAAATATTTCTTATATTTTAAATATTGTTTTTTAAATGCATTATTTTAATATTTATTCCGTTGCCCTTAAAGTAATAAAAAACACACCAAAGTAAACAAATAAAAGCTAATTTGGCCCTGTTCACAGTAGACTGGAAAGAAAGGTCAAGGATGAGCGGTAAACTGTCGAAAAAATTTACTTGTTAATCATCATCTCAAGTAGAATCAGTTATTCACTGTATACACTTGTAACTTTATCTTAACTGGTTCGATCGATGAAGCTGTTCTGATCATCAGACCAAGTAAATTACTTCCACGTGACTTAAGCTATTGAAACATTCAATAAGTCATAAATCTGTTTTTGTAATATTAAGTAAGTCATATTTCTGTTTTGTAACATTCAGTAACTTATCATTTCTGTTTTTGCAATATTAATTAAATTAATGTTTTTGGAAAATTCAGTAAGTTGTAGTTTTGTTTTTGCAATATTCAGTAAGTCATAGGCCTTTTGTAATATTTATTAATATCTTGTAATAATTTGTAAGTCACAGTTCTATTTTTGTAATTTTTTGTAAGTTCGGTTAGATGTATATTTCGCCCATCATAGGGTTCTATTTCGACCTTCTTCATCCCACATACAGTGGCGTACCTGAGCTCTTAACCATATGTAATCGGACGCCAAATGTCTGAGTTTAGGATATCGTAAGCAGTTTACAGGGGGACCAAATGATTGCACTGTGTGTTTCGTTTTTTTTTTTCAAAATATTCCGTGGTGGAGGTCTGCAAATTATCAGTATAGATATATATGGTTGCAACTTAGAATCTTTTGAAACCTGAAGATAAAAATTGCTGGAATATGGTTTTAAAATTAATCGTTATTTCCAAACTTATATAATTTGCATAAGATTGGTGTGGAGCGAGAATTTTTCAGTATGTTTCATAGGTTTTTCTATGGAATGTGTGCTTGTTTTGTTTACTGGTATGAGTGAGTTAGCTAAAAAATACCACAGTTCATGAAACCAGCTTCAATCTGTTGAACACGTGAAGGAATTAACACAAAGGATCACAAAAAAAAACTAACTAAAAAAAACTGACGTAGATTTCAAAAGACACAGAAACTCTAGCGCTTTAGAATATTTGACTATATTTCTTCAGAAAATAAGGCAATATCTTTTTTAAATTTTAGTGTTTCATGTTTAAGAAAAAAGGAGAAGTGGAACTTTTGTGTAAAAATTACCAGAGTCATACCCTTGGAATGAAACATGTCCTTTAAAGCAGTGTTTCCCAACCGTTGGGCGCGTGGATCATTATTTATCAGGGCGCAGAAACTTTTGGATTGAGAAACACTGGTTTAGAGCAGTGTTTCTCAACCATCGGCCCTAGTACCGACGTCGGTCCGCTATAACCACCTTGTCAGTCTTTGTGATTTCACGCAAACAAACAAAAGACTGATAAAATACTTATGTGCTAGTCTTAATGGTTTGTCGTTGTGCTTCCATTTTAGTGCTCCACGACAGCTTAGGGAGATGGCGAATCGGTCCTTGGTATCGAAAAGGTTGAGAAACTCTGCTTTATAGAAATGTGATTCAATTTCTGAGCTCAATATCTTTTTCTGTTGGTATGTTTAGTTATACCTCTCCGTATGTCAGATTCTACACATGAATATATTTACACGTTAATCTTTATCGTTTCTATATGTAGTTTCTGTGTATTTGCATCTTTTTTTTTCTTCTCGGAATAATTCAAACAGCGACAATTGTCGTATTGTTTTCGGTTATGAATCTGAAAAAATGAAAGATGAAACGAAAAATGGAGGGTAGAAAGACATCTTTCACCTTATTATAACGTATGTTGTGGAATAAAGAGTTGATTTCAGCAACTTGGAAACACACCCATATCTGCTCGATTCGCTGTCTGAACAAGACCAAGAATGTTCGAATTGATTGTCTGAACACGCCTGAGTTGGTTCGAGCCACATTTCTGTTCATTAAGGGTCGGTTTTGGTTTGAATATTTTAATTGCATAAATATGAAATACTTTTAGAACTAATTTGTAGTTGATTCTTCGCACAACATTTAGTTTTTACATTATTTTAAGAAATATATAATATATTGAAAAACTCGAAATGTTCAGAACTCGTGACGTTTATTTGTATTCTATGTTACCTTGGTTATTTGTTGTGTTTTGTACACTAGCTGGCGTTAGAGAATTCTTGGAATGTGTATGGGGCACAGTAATGTTACTGCTTTATTAGCACATAATGATAGTGGTGTTCATGTTTAGATATTTCTTCCTGGAAAACAGTCCCCAAATCTGTTGCCTACACTGTAAGATGCTTTCGTTGTTTACTTTCTAGGATGAATGATTACTTAAAATTACTGAAAAGTGCTCAGTTGTTTTATACTTGAAGTTGTTGATTTTCATATAGCTGGCTATCTAAAACTGCGGCTCTTCTATCTTCACGAAGGCTGTTATTTTCAGTTTTTAAAGTCATATTTGAGTTTTCTTTTCTTGCTAAGCTGTATCATTCAGTGACTAGTGTAAACTGTGGTTTCTTAGAAGGATAATCCCAATTTCACACAGCTTGTGTTTGAGTTTTCTTTTTTTGCTAAGCTGTATCATTCAGTGACTAGTGAAAACTATGGTTTCTTAGAAGGATAATCCCAATTTCATACAGCTTGTGTTTGAGTTTTCTTTTTTTGCTAAGCTGTATCATTCAGTGACTAGTGAAAACTATGGTTTCTTAGAAGGATAATTCCAATTTCATACAGCTTGTGTTTGAGTTTTCTTTTTTTGCTAAGTTGTATCATTCAGTGACTAGTGTAAACTGTGGTTTCTTAGAAGGAGAATCCCAATTTCACACAGCTAGATGTTTTTTCTCTCTCCTGTAAATTTCAAGATTGGTGGAGTATTACTAAGTAACTGAGCATTGTTTTCAATCTGACAATATGTGTTAATTTCAACAGGTTTGGTGTTTTCAAAGGAATAAACTTAATTTACTTGTATGTAAGACATGAAAGGAATTATTTAATCATACAGAATTTTCTCATTGCCCTTTAATTATTTATATAGAACACTTAAACCCTTATTTTTCTTTCCATTCACATATTCTATATTTACGATGTTTAGGAAGTGCGTGATTAAAGTGACTCGATATGAACAATTTTCGAATGCTTGATGTTTGACTCTGGAACAACTGGGATTTCGAGATCAAACACAGTTTTGTAGGGAATGGTGTTGTGACTCGTGCTTGACCTTTACAAA